ACGAATAACAATGTAAAATTGACATGTACTAATGCAAGAAGAAAGAGAAGAAAATATTTTTACAATTAATTTGACAGAATGCAAAAATAAGGAACGATGAATTAGTTAGCATTGTTTAACTTTAAAAATTATCGATTACAGGAAAATGTAATTGTCACTGATCGAAAACAGCAGTTTAATGGAAAAAGAGAGAAGATAATCTATTATGAACAGCCCAAAATTTATCGAATATCTCTGAGCGCATTTGAAGCAAAACTAAATCAAACCAATTAATAGATTTTCTACATCTAACAGAGCTCGTGAATTATATAAAGTAAAAGATTAAACATTAGATATTGAAATACACTTTCATTCAAAAATCTATGGACATTTTTTTTTTATTTTTAATATATAGTAATAGTATTTATTGCAGACAAAAAATAAAACTCGATAATATCGTAGACAGTAACATCGTTAAAGCAACATCTCTCTTATAAATCAGTGCCCAAATTTTTCTTATGTTATTGCCTTATATTACTATTTTATTACTGTCTTATATTGTTTGTTATACTGTAGAAATCAATTTATCTCAAGTCCATTCGAATGAAATTATAGTCAGTCCGGTTAATTAAACTCTTGCCAATTGAATCCACTTATCTGAACACGAACTTCTATTATTTGAATGAGAAATCATAGATAGCAGGGAGAATCAGTGAACTCCTATTATATGAATTATTTGTTTTCACCAATGGAATTCAATTGTACCTATTATCCGATCATTATTATTTCTATCTGATATTAATGAGGGAATGATATTAATGATACAATGTATGAGTGTGTGTGCATGTGTGTGTGTGTGAATGACGGGTAATTGTGAAAGATTGGCGAAAATAAAAAAAAAAGAAGATGGAAGTTGTGAAGTGACACGACAATCGACAGCAAACAAAAATTTAAATTGAATTTGTTATTATCTTCTTTATTTCTTATCAATAATGATAAATTACAACATTCTTGAGTGATATCCTATCCTATTGATCGAGCAAATACCTATTTGATCGAGCAAAATTTTCTGTTTATGCAAGATAACGATATAAAATGAGATGACAGAAATTTGCAAGAAAGTTACTTGCAAAAAATAATGCAAATAATAATAAAAAAATTTCCAAAAAGCGTATAAGACTATACAAATTTTTTTATTTATGTTCTATGAATCCTAATGAGCAAGTTTAGTAAAACTACGAGAAGTTTAGTAAAAATTTGATTTTATCTAGTGGAATTATTCGTATAATATGTCTAATAAATAGAATAAAAGAATCTAGTAATACGAATACTTAAATTAGTTGAAATAATAGACGAAAAGTATAATGAGTATGATAAAAGAGAAAACTTTAATATTATTAATCATTATGTAATTATTAATATTTCTATTTCTATTAAATTAAATGGTAGATTCTTTAAAATCTAAGATTTTACAAGACGTAAAATTCAAATTCAGTTTGTATAATGATTTCCCCTGTTTATATAGTGTAGACATATCAACAGGTTACTCATATCTATATACACGATATTCTATAACGTATGAAAAGCAGAGCAGGGAACGAATCATTATGAAAAAGTGAGTCAAAACTGTAGAATAAAATTTTTTCACCTAAGACTTTGTGCTCAAGGAAGTCAAATTTATATATATAGGATTGTGTTTTCAATTTATTTATACGTAAATAAAATATTAGACATAGGCAACGTATAGTAGGTAAATATAGGTCTACATTTTAAAAAATATTCTAACTGACAAACCACTTAAAATTGCTAAAATGTCTCTTTATATATATAATTAATAGGATTGTATTTTCAATTTATTTATACGTAAGTAAAATACTAGACATAGGCAACATGTAGTAGGTAAAATAAATATAATAGGTCTATATTTTAAAAAATGATCTAACTGACAAACCACTTAAAATTGCTAAAATGTCTCTTTATATATATATAAATTATATATATATATATATATATATATATATATATATAATTAATAGGGTTGTGTTTTCAATTTACTTATACGTAAGCAAAATACTAGACATAGGCAACATATAGTAGGTAAAATATTTATAGTAGGTAAATATAGTAGGTCTACATTTTAAAAAATAGTCTAACCGACAAACCACTTAAAATTCCTAAAATGTCTCTTTCTGTATTTCAAATGCTTGAAAACTCTAGCAACTCTATATGACTAAAGTCATACAGACATCTCTTAAAATTCAGATACCTGCAGGCCGAATATTGAAAAAAAATCGCATCACCGGGAGCGATCTGGAATTGTTCCAAAATAACGCGAAACTAGACAGTGTGAAATGGTGGACGGTTCTATCTCGCGGTCGGCGAACATTCGAGGGTGAATCGAACGCTGACGGTGAGTTGTGCCTGTTTGAATCGCTCGAGTCCTTCGGAATCGCACATTCGAGGCAACGCGATTTCCACGCGAATACCACGTTTCACCGTAACCAGGGAGCAGCATATTCGCTTCAGGTTTCAGGAAACTGCGGAAACTTTCGACTTTCCAGCTTGGGAAATATTTGAAGAGGTAGCTGCTTTCACCTGGGCGAAACTCGCGCGCGTACTTATCGCAACGCGTGTTCCATATACGCGAGCAAGGATCCCGAAGGCTGCGGCGAATTTCCTGCTCGGTGTTACTATCACAGTCGGTGTGTGTCCTTCGCTGGCTCGGCACTTTCCAGCTGGAAGATGCAAAGCGATTTCCATGTAACCCGCCGGCGACGAAAGGCACCCGCCCGCAACCGCTGCGATTCTCTTCCATCCAGGCGATTGAATCTGTTTAGTCGAGGAACGTTCGGTTTAATGACGTATAATTCCCTTTTCCGGATCCGGTCGCCAAACGCGTCTCGCGGAAACTTTTCCGCTTGGCTCGTGATACTCGCACACCAATTACCCCACGCTGGCATTTCGATGCGGAGAATTTCACGGTTTCTCCGATTGGATACGCGAATTTTCTCTAACCGATTCAATTCCAATTTTTATCGATAATTTTTCTTTTTTTTTTCAAGTATTGTAAATGAGATTCTAGAAATTTGTTCAATATCCTTTTCAGTCGGAATCTATAACAGCGATAAGAGCGATTCTGATAAAACTGTGTTTCAAGATAAAATTCGGTTTCATAGTTCTGTCTGGAATAAAGTTTCACTTTGTAATATCGATAGAATACAGTTCGAAACAATGTTGAGTAAAGTTGAGTACTATCTAATGAATCTTTCAATTTATGCACAAAAATATTGATATAAAATACGCAGAATAGAGAATATTATAATGCACAGTAGATAAAACAAATTGCTTTCTAGGTTTTAAAATGCATAATAATGAAATAAATGCAAAACAACTGCATTATTTTATGAGATAATTAAAATTCAGTTTAGTTTCAAGAGGACAGTTTTATGTCCTTTTCTTACGAAAGAAGGAGAAAAAAATATAAAAAATCATTCGTCCAGTTAAAAATAATTATTTTTGGTAAAAAAGAAAACTCTCTTTTTTATATTTCTGCATTATTCTTTCTTATCACAAAAGAAACGACAGAATTGTCTTGGCTACGAAATATATTAAATTCCGAAAAATATGTTCACTTACAACATCGTGGACAATATGAAAAGAAAAGAAAATTTCTTAAAGATCATCTTCCGTAAGAAAGGAAGAAAATATTATTGAAACGAATTGGAATATTAAATGTTCCAAGTCGCCCAACCGAACTTTCTCAATTTCTTTCTGCCTTATTACATTCCCGACGTGTTTATTATACACGAAAATCGTATATCATGTATTGTATCGAATGTGTTTCGAACGTATGCGTCGAAGTTGTATTTTCTATCACAGTTCTTCTCTGTCCATGACGTTCGCATACAAACTGACGTTTTGTCAATACTTGCATCTTACTTGGGAATTGTTCAGAAATTTACGTGCAAGTTCTCGGAGAATATCTGATGCAAACTTGATACTGGTTTCAAAGTGACGTACAGTTTTTTCTTTTTTCTTTTCTTGAATATTTTCTAATGCTAGAAAATAACATTAATAGCTTCTAATGTCAGAAGATTAACTCGAATATTTTTAGTATTGAATAATAACAATATTTAACTCTTATTTAACGTAAGTAATAGTAATAATATTTTTCATAGAAATTTAAACAATGATGAATTTTCATATGATTAAGAAATAATTAAATGTAAATATATGTAATTAAATAATAAATTAATGAAAGTAATTTGAATGAAATAAATTTAGATAAAATTAGATAAAAAAATATTCGTATTCTTTATTACAGAAGTGTTTTTCAATCATTTTTAGATTCTCATTTCTCCGATGCAAAATTCATACTTCATTGGCAATTTTTTAATATTGAATTAAATATACAATTAATTATAATATTACGTACTGGTTTCTGTTTCTTAAACAATATATATATCAAATTTTTTTAAAACATTTAAAAATAACTCCATTTCTTCATAAAACATATATTCTCCTTTTGAATATACGTCGATATTATTATATGTTAAACAGTCCATATAAGATTTCTTTGCATATACTACACACCACATTTAGAATTCAAGTGAAATGAATCGTATTATGGAAATTGAACAATTCATATGCAAGAGATCCCTGTTATTGTTTGAAGATATTAATATTGCATTTATCTTGATGGAGTTATGCTTTCTCTCTCGACCTTAATACTTTTCTGATTGTACTGGTCAATAAACACGAGGTCATGGATTTTACAATTTTTTACATCTGAAGAGGAAGATTAAATCGAAAGATTCGTCAACTGTACAGATTATTTAATTATTTAATAAATTGTATTTATATGAGACAATGAACTAAGAAACAGTATTACTAGATAAGAAAATCTAAGATCAATGCTGCAGTAATTTCAAAGTTGCTCTCCAAAAAAATATTGTACAGTGAAAATTAAAACGGATGCATAAAACCGTCAATGTAAATTCGTAAATGATTTGTATGTATAGGTGCACCATCTTGAAGAGAAGCTTCCAAACAACGGCTCACTTTTCTCTTCGGGTTCTCTTCTTCGGGGGTAATGCATGCAAAACAGAAGCCACTTTAAGACAGGAGGGTGATAATCGAGAATGGTAAGTTGTTGTTTTATATTGCACAGTAAAACGGGAGTATGAGAGAGACGAGAAATCGAGACCATGCTGCGTAAAAGCGAGATCGTCCTTTTCTTTTTTTCCTCCCCAGTAACTTCCTTTATATTCGAAAGCAGGAATACTACCTCTTTATAAGCATAGCCACCTCAAAAAACGAATAAATCGAGGAGGATTAAAATGCCGAAAAAGAGAAACGAGAGGTTACAAAAAGTGAAATAAATAAATGAACGAACATGAAATGAATAAATTACTGCATCCACGGTGTTTTCTTTTTCTTTTCTCGTTTTTCTCCGTTTGCAGAATTGTTAACGTAGACGTAATAATACTTTCAGCGTGTGCTCGTTTCAGAAAACTGAAGAAATTAGTACATGCATATACATTTTCACTGAAAAGTCTTCGGGCTTTTTATTTTTAATATTCAGCATAATTGTTTGCACTTTACAATGAAATGGATAATGTGTTAGCACTTTACAGTTTCATTGTCGTATAAAGTGTTAATTTTTAATTGATAATTAATTTAATTTAAATTTTTAGCGTCAACTATACAATAATATAAACGCATAATAATACAAAATAATTTGTCCCAAGACTTTCGAGTGAGGATATGTTTCATAAAAATGATCGTAATGACAATAAAAATTATTTAGAACTATAATATTATTTTGTATTAATTTCAATCATCTTCAACAAACAAAGATTAAATATTAAAAATAGGATAGAAACGAATTTATAATGGAACATCGTGTCATTCTACATTTGACTGCAGCCATTTTATAACGTTTATTCCTATTAGAAATGTATAATACGTTTATAGATTCTAATTATTTTATACAAAGCAGAGGATTAACAGTGAAAAAAAGAAATGAAGAATTAAAGGTGTAAATTAATTTTCGGCATATTTATCATACTCTTATCAGTCATCTTGTTATAACAAAGATCAGAGTTGTCTGCACGTAATGTAGAAAATCTTGTTATTCCATATGATACAATTAAACGTGAGCATTAACGGGAAATAATCACCAAAGAGAAATTCGTTCGAATAAACATGGTTTTAAACTGAAGCCTTTGTGTATTCTGTATTCTGACGATCCACTTTTATTTGAATTTGTTTTCCCAACAGCTGGAATCTCGTATTCGAAATCATATTTTATAAACAACCGAAGGCATATAATACCTCAACATAATATTTGTTTGTTTCATTGATTTAAATATTTACTTTGACAATTATTGAAACACATTATTGACGACTATTGAAACATTCTTCAATTTTTTGTTTATATTTTATTTCTTGTCTTTTAATTCAGTAAAAATAGAATAGTCAAATATTTTCTAGTATAATTTTACAAATGTTATTAAATCATCAAATGATGGAGAGATTTTTTAATATTTGCTGCTCAATCTCAAACATATAATGTTTATTATTATATGTATATATATAAATTTATTTACTTGTTATATATTTATTTATTTTTTTGGTACTTCCGTTATTTGTCCGCTCCGAAATTTGAAATGACAATTAAAATGAAATCAGATCATAACAATTTTTATTTTATCACATTATATTACTAATAATCATCTTATAATATTATTAATATATACTATATACAATAGAAAAGAATTGTAGAGCTATCGTACCTATTCTAAATATTATACATATTTAGAATTGTATTATATTATGTTATATTTCTTATATTCAGTAAAATGTATCTATCAATTTACTTACATTCTTAGTTATCGATTATTAATTTAATTTAACTTCAATTCCTGTGATAATCGGGCAAATAGTAACAATTTGTAGTGAGATCTATATTATAGAAAAGTTATCAGCTTATTGATAAATTATTTAATCGATTAATCATAGTCAAAGATTACATGGATAGTTAGTTATTTTCAATTAATGTTCTTTTTTATCAAATTATCCAATAACCTTTGAATTGAATATTCTTAAGAATATAACAATTTTAATATAAGTATTTTTATATATATTCACAACAGCCAAACATTCCCATTTGATTTGGTGACTTTAGACTTTTGTACGCTACTGTGTATGCAAATTTGAAACTACAGCGTTAATTAATCATTAAAGGCCAACTTCTTTCTACATTTGCAATGATACATCTGTCACTAATGCACATATGCAAATAATGAATATTAATGGAAAATCAATCTTCTGAATTATAAAGTAATGATCACCAACATCCATTATCAATTAGGATTATTCAAAAGTTTCAATGTTTTTAGTAAAATTGATGGGTTTGAAATGTAATTACAGGTTTCATTAATTATCAACCTTTCACATTACTGTTGATTTTATTACATAACCCATCGGCAACTCCAAAAAATATTTGTGACCACTGTGGTGAATATTAAAAAATAACATTACCTCAAGTAAAAAATCTATAGAAGTATTTTACTATTTCTATAGAGGTATCTTACTATTTCTTACGTTCATTGCCTTAATTTTTTCGAAGAATAAATATTATTTGGTTAATACAGTATAGCTTAATGGCTTAATACGCATATTTTTCTATAAAATAGAAAATGTTGACAATCGATCAAACCTCCATGCTTTCAAGTACACTAGCTTACAGAATTTGGCTGAAACTACAAAAATTTGATAGTAATCATCGAGTAGCATCAGAAAATCCACGGAATGCAATAAAGTTAGCGTTCAGTCGTAATTTGTATAACACTATCGGCCTATCGAGATCAGATCGGCAATGAAATTATTGTTCCATTCCATTTTAACGTGCAAATGTTTCGTATCGGCGTGAAAAAACGTTACACGCGAGCGATTTCCATACATCGATTTGCATAACTAACTTAAAAGGCAGAAAAAGGAGAGAGATGAAATAATAGAAAAATGTTTTTTTCGTCGTGGAAGCATGTGAAGTGTCCACAGGGAAAAGTAGTGTCAAATTTCAGAAAACGAAACTTTATTTTTCATTGTAAATGCTGAATAGGGCTGAAATTTATGTACATGAGGCAATTGTTTTTTAGATAAAAGAAGAAAAATATATAGAGTAAAATTTTTTCATTGGGGCTCAGTTTTCGAGAAAATTAACATTGAAAATTATCAAGCATACTTGTGCTTGACTAATTCTGGATAGAATAGTAGCGAATAATCGATAGAAGATTATTTTAAGTGCGAGGAAACTTAATTAAGAATTGATAAATTTTTATATTTCATTTTCTCGAACATGAAACATTTAATGGAAAAACTTTATTCTATATTGCTTTCCTGTTTCATCGTAATTTCATGAGGAATTATTTTGTACATAAATTTACGTACGATGTCACGAATTCACATTCCCTCATATATCAAAATAAATGTAAAACTCAGAAAATTTTAATTCGCAATATATGACACAGTTAGCGACAAAAGAGCATACATAAGAAGCGTACGAAAAAAATTGTCATTAAAATTGACACATTTTTCCCTTCGTAAGTCCTTCATGTATGGAATTTGATTTCTCGCTGAATTTTATTTAACTCTTCCGGCAATTTTTCCATTTAACAGGGAATCTTGAAAGAAGTTTTTATCGGACTGTCGTAGGATATCTTTTTTTTTTTTTTCTTGAAGAAAGAAAACCTGTGAAATCATGTATCTATGAAAAATTGAACAAGCGTAAATTATGCAAAATCGCTGTATATATTAAGATTCTCGACGTGAGACAACTTTACGATATGAACGTGACTTTTTCACTGTCTGCGAGATTTACACGCAACGTGTTAATGTATTGTCACCAACGAATTGAAAACACTGTCCGCTGATAGAAAAATCATGTTTAATTTGGAAATCATGATTGTAAAATAATTAAAAAATTTCTTAATATTTCCTTAAAAGTTTCTTAAAAATTAATTTAAGAATTTCTAATGAATCATTAATTAACAATCGAAAGATCATTGATCATTTCGCTTTTAATTTTGTTTCGTTAAGCACACACACTTTATTTGTAATACTTTTTCATATTCTAAAATTCTAAAGTATTTCGTTTATGATAGAAACTTCATGATTAAAGATTTTGTATATTACAAGCCATATAAACATTTGCAAATTCTTAATTATTAGATTAATGGATGGTAAAATTTTGTGCATTCATGGAAAATTGCATAAAATGTATATGACAAGAAAAAGTATCCCCGTGTATTACATTTGTAGAACAATCTTCTATTGATTTTTTTTTTTAATTATATTCTTAAAAACTATTCAAATAATATATTCGAAAAATGATGAATGGAACAGTATATTATCTTATTTAGATGAACGTTTGAAATAACTATGAGATAATTAATTTGGACAATTTTTCTCCAAACTATTTCATCATTTGGCTGTCAAACGAAATGATACTTCATCGTATTTAAATCATCCTTATACATCATCGTCACGACAGACTATTAACGAGCCAATTGAAATAAGAAATTATCTGGAATTTTACACTAAACAAAACTATTTTTTTACGTTATTTTAAATTAAAATAACTCTTCTTCCATTTGTGAGAAATTTGTAAATTTTCATTTAGTCGCAACAAAGAGAAAAAAAAATTCGAGTTTGAAAACCTTCGGCTTCCATTACGAAATGATGTTGTGAATTCATCAGGATGCAAACACCGCAGAAGAAACGTAGATTGCGTGTCTGCATTCGTTATACGACGAGTTTAGTATGTATGTATGTATGTACGTGCACGCGAAAGCTAGGAAATCGTCCAAAAAAATCTTCGTTAATGTCCACCGGTTCTCTTTACGCAGTCGGGAAATATTTTACACGGTGGAACTAGAATTCAAACGTGGCTTTGGATTACTTTTAGACGGGGAATTCTTTGTTTTTGCTTCGTTTCGGATTACTTTTACATACAAAACTCTTTCGCTTTGCTCCATGCTGGCTTCCTCTCTCAGACGGATGTAAATGCTCTCAACTTCTGTTTGTTGCATTTGAAGCATCCGGATTATTTTAATTTTCTTATATAGTGACAGATTTCAGA